GAGAAGCTATGCTACGTGTCGTACGACCTCGAGCTCGACAAGCGCCTGAGCGAGGACACCACCGTGCTCGTCGAGGATTACACCCTGCCGGACGGACGTGTGATCCGCGTCGGCAGCGAGCGCTTCGAGGCGCCCGAGTGTCTCTTCCAGCCTCACCTCGTCGACAGCGAATCCCCCGGCCTGGGCGAATTCCTCTTCAACACCATCCAGTCCGCCGACGTGGACATTCGCTCGTCGCTGTTCAAGGCTATCGTTCTGTCTGGTGGAAGCAGCATGTATCCCGGTCTTCCGTCGCGATTGGAGAAGGAGCTCAAGCAGCTGTGGCTCACACGGGCGCTGCAGGGCAACCCTGAGCGCTTGAGCAAGTTCAAGGTGCGGATAGAAGATCCTCCGCGACGTCGACACATGGTGTTCCTTGGTGGAGCGGTGTTGGCCAACATTATGGCGGACAAGGAGAGTATGTGGGTTACCAAGGCGGAGTGGGAGGAGGAGGGTACTAGAGTGCTTGAGAAATTGGGACCGCGATAAGAGAAAATCTCTGAGCGATTGTTAGAGGGAGAGGTATTTTGCGTTCAAGTTAGTTTGTGGTAGACAGCAAGAAAAGACGTTATGAAGATCATGTTGTCTTGACTGGGGTGTCTTGACTGATGTCAATTGAGCTAATTGACCAATTCAGACAACTTTCAATGATGAGACCATTGAAAGCGATAGCATGAGAAGTATAGTTCATGATGATTCCAGAAGAGTGTCCAATGTAACCATCACCAACAAGCTTGACACCATAAAGTCAGCTTAGTCATCACTGAAATGTGACAAACAGAGTCGCAAAGTTCCAGAACACGAGGCATGAATCTCAATCATACCAAACACCATTCTCACCTTTATCCCGTGTCGCGAACCCTCCCATCGCCAGCGCAACCGATCGCCTTTCACAGCCTCATAACCATCTTATTCCCAATCTCCACAGGGTGGCTCCGCAGCGATTACCCCATATCGCGTCTCTCTCTCTGCCCCCAAAGGAATAGCGATCCGCGCCGCAAAGAGACTGGGAAACTGAAGTACAACGGCTGCAGTTCCCGAGAAACCTTACAGTGCAGTGCCGTTTTATTGTATTAGAGTCTGCAGCGCCAAAGTCAAAAAAAGGGTGCAGGTTCGGGATTACACAAATCTCGTATGCGCATCCTATCAACTCTCACGCGTCGTGCATTAGGACGAGGAGGCGAGAATCTATTACCTACGCTCTATTACGCCTCCGGTACCTGTTCCCTTTGTTTCCCCGCGCGGGGAAACCTTTTTCTCTTTGAATTTGATACGATACATTACGGATACGGACGGGCACATCCAATCTCCTTCTCCTGTGGGTGATACTCCACTCGCAAAGCATTGAATCCCGCTTACGGGGACAGAGAAGAGAGAGGGGAGGGATAGTGCTCGGAAGGACCGTTCCGTTTTTTTTTTGTGAGGGTTCCCGGCGCAAGTAAATGAGTGTAACGAATCCGCCGACGGGGGCTTCGGGCCCGGGATCCGTTGGCTTGGGTGCCGTCAGGGGGAGTTTGAAGAGGAGTGTTCAGGCGTCTTTTGAGGGTGAGTCTGCTCTATTTTCCTCTCTCTCTACCTCTAATAATCCAATCCAATCCTCTCATCTCTTTGGGTTTGTCACATCTCACGAGCATATACATCGCCTATCTAAAAGTTCCTTGTCTCCTATATCGGTCACACTGCACTAGTCTAGCTCAGCCGTTGCATGCATTTTGTATCTCTTCCGTGTCCATTCAATATTCATTCTCAATTTCCACGTACATAATCTTGTTCGTCAGCTGCTCTGATTTCCTTTTCCTTTTTATCGTCTTTCTCCTCTTCTTTTAAAATCTCCCTTGTTTTTGCCTCACTCGGGGTTTGCGCCGCATGCTTGTCCAAAGAGGGAAAAGATTATCCTGAGGTGTCGACATTGAACAACGACTTGCCTGACTCGAACTCAGCTCAGCCCAGTCTCAGCTCAGTCTCGGTTCTGCCGAGCTATCAACAAACTCAGAGTCTCTTTTAAAAGTCTCATCAGCTGCAGCGTCTTTTCTTGTCTTGTCATCGTCAGCACTTTATTTTAATCTTTCGGTATCTCGTTCTCTTTTTTCCGTCTTCGGCGTCTGATAAGCCTCCGTTGCTTTTTTGTCATTGCAGCTGTGGACCTCGACCAGCCTTTCACATTTCGCCTCAATCACTCACCATCGTCATCTCACTCACTCACTCGCTCTATCTTTTTGTGCCAATGCCGAGTGGTTAAACGCACAACTTCATCACAAGCCTTGATCCTCGGCGATGCCTCTCCGTCCTCACATCGGCCTCGGGTTTCCTGCTCACGCTTACCAAAAACGTCATGTAGAACCTCACGATCGCTCAACTGGGTATCAACCCAAAGTCCGAATCACAGATCGCTACCGCATCATTGGCTTCATCAGCTCGGGTACCTATGGACGGGTCTACAAGGCTGTTGGCCGCAATGGCAAGCCTGTGGGTGAATTCGCTATCAAGAAGTTTAAGCCCGACAAGGAAGGTGAACAGATCAGCTACACGGGCATCTCTCAGAGTGCGATCCGTGAGATGAGTCTCTGCAGCGAACTTCACCACATCAACGTTATTCGTCTCTGCGAAATTATGCTCGAGGACAAGTGTATCTTTATGGTGTTTGAGTATGCCGAGCACGATCTATTACAAATCATCCATCATCACACACAACAGCCACGACATCCGATTCCCCCGGCAACCATCAAAAGTATCATGTTCCAACTCCTCAACGGATGTCAGTATCTACACATCAACTGGGTTCTCCACCGTGATCTCAAACCCGCCAACATCATGGTCACTTCATCAGGCGAAGTCAAGATTGGAGATTTGGGTCTAGCACGTCGATTCGATAAACCACTACACTCTCTCTTCAGCGGCGATAAAGTGGTCGTTACTATCTGGTACCGTGCTCCCGAACTCATTCTCGGTTCATACCATTACACGCCTGCCATCGATATGTGGGCTGTTGGGTGTATCTTCGCCGAACTTCTTTCCTTGAGGCCCATATTTAAAGGAGAGGAAGCCAAAATGGATAGCAAGAAGACGGTTCCTTTTCAACGCAACCAGATGCAAAAGATTATCGAGATCATGGGTGTCCCAACCAAGGACAAATGGCCTCTACTATCGACCATGCCCGAATACAACCAACTCAACACTCTCGCCAACTCCATGGCTTCATCTCACCACAATCACCACAACCATCATCATCCTCATCACCACCACGGCCACTACGGCTCCCGCAACCCACCGCCCCCTCCCCCTGGCGGCTCAAATCTCGAGAAGTGGTACTACAGCACCATCAACCACACCAGCGCCCCCGGCGGCACACCACCACTTGCCTCTCTCGGCTCAGAAGGCTACAAGCTCCTCGCCGGCCTTCTAGAATACGACCCCTCAAAGCGTCTCACAGCCGCTCAAGCCCTTCAATCTCCCTTCTTCTCAACCGGTGACCGTGTCAGTGCGAATTGTTTCGAGGGCTGCAAGAACGAGTATCCTTGTCGACGTGTGAGTCAAGACGATAACGATATACGGACGAGTAGCCTTCCGGGTACGAAGCGGAGTGGATTACCGGATGACTCGTTAATAAGGCCTGCCAAGAGGCAGAAGGAGTAGGAATCCAAAGGGTGGGCCAGACGAATTGCTCGTCCTTGGGTCATTTACCCATCGATCATTCGGCCAGAACCATTTATTCGCCCTTCGATGGTTTACTGCCAGATTGCTCATTCATCTTCGTATTTCTGTAGATGGTGTGCAACGCATTTTCCACATCGTCAGGGGGGGAGAAGATTGTATCAATGATTATTGTTCGGAGTAGTATGGCGTTTATGTATACACGGATTACGGTTGTCACTTTTGGGCTGAGCGGATAGATAGAGCGGTTGTTATAGCATATACCCGGCGTTCAATACGATGGAGATTGGTTCACTAGAGCGTGTTCGTGATACAGGTGAAAGCTGTATGTCCATCCTGGGAAGGACGGCGGGCAGTAGTCCTCACGCCCACGTTCTGGAATGGCATGCAACAAAGCCTCAGCCTATCTGCTAAATGCCAGAGCTGAGGGACAACTATGCAAGAATTCGAGTTGCACTGCTGTCACCGAGAAAGCAGCAGTCCCGTGCAGTCTGCGATGGGCTGCTAAGCACAGGGATCCATGGAAAGTTTAATATCGTCGTATTTATCTCTCCATCTGCCACTAAATCCACATCACCGATTCACCCTTCAACCAACCATCTCACATCACCCCAGAAGAAATAAAAAGGGTGCCATATCATTAGAACAAATACCATAAAAAAGGAGGGGCCCAGTGACATTATTTTTAAACACAGATTCTCTTCTCTTTCACCAACGATACGGAAAACGCATAAAAAACAGCAAAACAACAAAGATTTCAACAATACAAAAAAGACTTTCGAGGTCGACATGCCTCAGATACGTCTGCCTATCTCTTCTCTCTCTCTCTCTTTTTCCACAAACTGCCTGCTCCATCCCGTGTGAATTATCTATCATTTTGGTTGTGTGTGTGTAAAAGTTCCTCCCCACATCCCCCCTTCATCAACAAGAGTTTCAAGGTTTTGACTTCCAACGCAGGAAGTCAGGTAAAATAGAAGAATTAAGAAAAAAAGAAGACGCAAAGATATGATAAACAGTCCGGGTATTTCAGCAAATTCGGCGAGTTGTTTTGGTGTGAGGAGTTTGGAAAGGGCGTAGTGAGGGTTTGAGGGGTGATTTCTCCGTATGGAGAGGGAGGGCTGTGATGATCCCGAGATGTGGTGTGAGCGAGATTATCCTCCGTTACCCCAAGCGTGGTATAGCCTGTAACCTCTTAATATCGAGATGCAGGCTCGGGAGGTAGAAAAGAATTCGGGATCGTTTCGAGATAGCGTGGTAGTGAAAAGCCCTCAGGGTGAAGACGAAGAAACGTCGCATGACTCGCTCCTCGTCTACTTCTTAGCCGGAGTCGGAGGGGCCTTGACATTGTTCGACAGCCACGCCAGACCCTCGAGGAGACCCTCGCCCGTGGTGGCGCAGCTGGGCACCACGTACCAAACCTTGTCCTTGAGCTTGGAGAGCTGAAGAGCCTCGGTGACTTCTTGGGGTTTCATAGCTGTACCTCGTTAGCGACATCGTATATCGGGTGTTGAAGGGAGATACATACCCTCTGCCAAATCTTGCTTGTTGGCAAACACGAGTAGTAGACTGTCCTTCATCTCACGATCGTTGATGATTCGGTGAAGTTCTTGTCTGGCCTCCTCCATTCGGTTCCTATCAGAAGAGTCGATAACGAAGATAAGACCCTGAGTACCTGTACCCCAAAAAGCATCAGTATTGAGTTCACCACTAAGTATCCTTTGGACCGTTACTCACCGCTGAAGTAATGCCTCCACAGAGGACGAATCTTGTCCTGACCGCCAACGTCCCAAACGTTAAACTTGACATTCTTGTACGTAACCGTCTCGACGTTGAAGCCGACCGTCGGAATCGTGGTGACGTCCTGGCCGAGCTTGAGCTTGTAGAGGATAGTTGTCTTTCCGGCAGCGTCGAGACCGAGCATGAGGAGGCGCATCTCCTTTGATCCGAAGATCTTGCCCATCATCTTTGAGAATTGGCCGCCCATGATTGCGGCTTGTGTAGAGGGTGTCCGGTTATGTTTTATGCGGTATGCGCTCGTGGGTGGTGGTGTGATGTGATGTGGTATGGTAGGAATACAAAGGGAGTCGAGTTGGGTTGAGTAGTCGTGTTTCGTTTCGAAACCTGCTCGAAGCGCAATGTGTCAGCCTCGCTTCTCGTGTGATACCAATAAGACAACAACGCTCTCCGATGCAACGGGAGGACCAGAGAATGGCGTTTCAGATTACAACAGGTGTTGATTGAGGTGTTTGTTGCTCTCTGACGTTTTGTTCGCCAAAGAAAAGGCGAGAAGATCTTGATAAAAGCAATCAAGGCTCCAGATTTATCGTATCTCCCCGCTGTTGATTCCCAGGATTGTCTCTCGAGTCGTTTGTTGATTGTCGCAGATAGAAAAAGGACCCAATACGTACAATACACCTTGTGCTGCTTCGTTGGCGCGTATCGCAACGTTTGTTTGTTTTGTTTTGTTTATCCGTATCGCAAGGTCGTTTCAACAGGAAGGACTCCGTAACTTGGCGGTGTCGGTTTGTCGAATGAAGACGTAGACGTAGACGTAAACGTTGGAATACTACAGTACAGTATCAGAGAGAAATGGATCTAGTATCAAGCAAGCATCAATCAAATCAAATCTGGACTCTTCTCTTTTTCCCCCCGTCAGGGGAAAAAAAAAGGGACAGACGGGTCAATCCCTCTTGTTTGCTGCTTCCCTTCCCCTGGCCCTGAGCTCCTCTCGGCCTAGCGCCCAGCACGGGGCAACCACGCGGGCGGGGACCTAGCCCTTATGACGATAGGCCACTTGGGTCCCCTGTCCAGTCCCTGAAATGAGATACGGTCACTGTAAGGTACCCGACCTGACCTGGCTCAAATTCCAGGCCAGCCATAATCATAAACAACATAACCTTACCGACAACCATCAATCAATTGTATCCGTTTGTCCAGGGTCAACACTAATAACCTCCGAGGCTCTCGTCATTAGCGTAGGCCTCAACTCACTTCACTTCGGTCAACTTCATATCGTGCCCAATATCAACGGTAATAATACTCAATTGATGCTTGCTATTGCGTCGTAAGCAACAGCTCTATGGACTGTTTTCCTGGAAGCCCATCATATCCACTGCAACGTTATCATTAAACGCACCGGAGCATATAACAACTCCTAGCACATATCTCGGTTTAGTCGGGCTATGCTCTGTATTCAATCACGAATCTCCTCTCCACCTGCTGCAGTGTTGAAGAGTCATTCTCCCCCTCAAACTTCAGATTGACCTTGCCGTCGCTGTCCATGCTATGAACCTCCGCCTTGTAGAACGTGGTTGTGTTAGGATACAGCGCCAGCACCACCTTGCCTGATTCCCAATCCTTCAACGTCGAAGCTTGGCTCTCAGGTGTAATGGGAATCATACTGCTGGCACTTGATCGGTACTCCTTCTGTTTGCTCTGGTCCTCGGGCTCTATATCGAGGACCTTGTATCGTCGGCTTTTGCCCTCACCCATCACCTGCGCGACCTCACCAAGTATCCAGTCTGATATTGTATCCCCATTCAGCGCTTTGGGCTTGAATGCAACTGCATCGCCTTTTGAGAAAACAACTTTGGACTTGTTGTTCCCTGATCCGACACCGCTCCCAACTGACCCCTGAGGCTCGACACTATCGGCCTTTGGGGGCATGCTGTCACGGTCACGGTCTCGTTCTCTTTCCCTCTCGCGTTCTCGTTCCCGTTCTCTCGTTCGGTCACCATATTTTCTTGCTGATCCTCCAATTGGACTCGGCACGGGTGAATCACCAGCCCCGTCAAAGTCGTAGAGCGAAGATGCTGCCGCCGCGCTGTCTCGGGCATTCCTCTTACCAGGCCCCGCTGCTTGAGCATCCTGCTGTTCCTTAGCGTGCACCACGGCGCGCAACACTTTAAGCTGCTCGATAGTATTTTTGAGTGCTGACATGTTAGCCTCCGAGTGCTTAACCCCTGTCCGGCATAGCTGTTCCATCTCTTTCAACGAGTCACTCGGGATCTTCTCCAAGTCCATCGTACCGACTTGTTTATCCATCGTGACAAGCTCCGTAAGACTGTCATTCTCGGCATTGATTCCGGAGACAATCTCCCCCACTTGACTCTTGCACAGCTCCCATATCTGTACCTCCTCTCCATGTGAATTACCGTTGTTGCGGTTAGACGCCCGTCCGCTTCTATTTCGTTGCGACATCTCGCGGTTGTGGCGCTCCGGCTTCACCGACTCCGGCCGCGGGGTATTATGTTCACTTCTCGGCGACCTCTTCGGCGTGCCCACGTCTGAAGTGATATCCCGACTATGGTTCTTGGTCCTCGACTTTGTCGGACGGTTTGGGGTCGAATCTCTGCTCGAAGGATCCTGTCGCTTCGAGCCTGATCGTTTCGGCTCCGGCGTGTTGGAGGACTGGCGCAGAGACTCCTGAAAGCTATTCTCCCTTGAGTGAGTACCGCTTCGCCTAGGCTTCAGGGGAATCTGGTAGTAGGGGCCGAGATCTTCTTGGAGGTTCTTGAGTTCGTCCCGCGCAGGCTTCTGCCCGTTAGCCATCCTGCCCCGATACCACCGCCTAAACAGAATGTTGCGATGAGAATCAACCCGAGGAAGGAAACATTATGACGACGAGAACGACAATGAATAGACGAAAGCAAGCGCAATTAATCAAAAATGGGAATTGAAGCGCATAAGATTCATGAATTCTATGAGAAAAAATTGGACTAACCTGAGTTAAGAGAGGCCCGAGTGCTCACAGGCCGAGGCGGGATGGTATGGGGAAGGAAAGGCGACTAAGACAGAAGGCGCGTCGCAGATGAGAAGGGATCGGCAAAATGAGCAAAAGAGGAGAGAGGCTGTGACGGATTATATAAGTGAATAGAGTTGAGTCATTATATCATGTCATGAAGTAAGTTTGTGAGAATAGAGTTGAGGTATAATTGAAAGCTTATTATTGTTCAATAGTGTAATCGTCGGGTATCATGGATGTTGTGTCAATCGTGATGGTGCTTAGTCTTTCTCTAACAGCTGAGGCTGGTGATTCAATGCCAGGGGAGCATCTTCCGCGGCAGAACAAAAGGCGGTGAGGAATAGACGTGCCGCATTTGGAGGGGCTTGAGGGGAAGCTCCCTTATCATGACACCGATAAGGGTGTGAATTTGATATCCGATAATTATTGGCACTGTATCATGATACCTCATGGACTGTAAAACATGGTGTTGAGATGTAAATGGCACTCTGTGACCTGATATTGATTTTAACAAGGGTGCAAGCTGCATTCGAAGCTTATTCTTAAAGACCAGGGAACATTACGTGTGCGTTTAAACTTAAAGTTACTTCTCATCCCGATCAATGCTGTCCATCATGAATCTTTATTCCTCATTAAAAGTATATCTACCACGCCATTTTCCACACTCATACCATTCCCGTCATCTATAGCTTCTCCTTCCCAGAATCATCAATCTCACAAAACGCCTTAAACGTCGTAAACTCATCATCCTCACCCCCCTCACTCTCAAGCACAAGCTCCGCCGTCGCACCCACAAAGTACACATACCCCTCCTTCATCTCATAGCTCGTAGGCCCAACAGCGATTCTCCCCTTCCCACCCGTGCAGATGACAATGCTAGGTCCCTCGATAGGCTCAAACGTAGCCTTTGCGCCGTCCCCGCGGAGCAGGGTGCGCACGACGCTGAACTCCTCGATGGGCGGGTCGTACAGCACCACCGCTGAGCCGGAGCTGTAGGCGTTGCGGTTGAGTGTTGCGTAGGGGTATTCGGTGGGTGTCATCTTTTGTTGCTCGATGGGCGCAAAGTTGTAGGTTAGCATGTCGACGAGGGTTGAGACGTCTTTGAACTTGGGTGTGAAACCGGCGCGGACAACGTTATCGGAGGCTGCCATGCACTCCATGATGTCGCCGGAAATGTAGGCGTGAATGTCATCGGCGACAAGGAACAAAGCCTCACCGGGCTCCAGTGTGACGAAGTTGAGGAAGAAGAGCACGAAGCATCCAATGTCGTCGCCAAACTCGCCGTGTGTTCGCTTCACAAGCTCAGCGAGCTTCTCGCCAGAAGTAGCAGGGACACCACCGCCAGCGAAGTCAGCGCCCTCCTTCTCCGCCTGCTCAACAAGTTTGGGCATCTGCTCAGCAATATCCTCAGCAGACGACGCCATGAGCGCACTAAAAGCCTTCTTTAAGAACTTCTTCTTCTCATCCGTAACACCCTCATCACCATCCTTAGCAACCTGCGCAAACTCCTTCGCAGCTTCCTCGCCCACGAGCGCTCTCAGCGCAGGCACTGTCTCGAGGAAGTGAGCAATCTCAGTGAGGGGTCGGAAACCGCAGAGACCCTCGAAGGGTGTAATGGCAATGGCCATTTCGGGCTTGTGGTTGTCATCAGGATAGTTCTTTGCGTCGCGAGCGTGGAGTTGCTCGGCGAGCTTCTTGTTGGGGTGGGCTTGGATCGAGAGCGCCTTTGCGATGGAGAGCACCTTGAAGAGGAAGGGGAGCTTGTGGCCGTAGTGGGAGGAGATGGTTTGCGAGAGGAGGGACTGGTTATCCTCGCAGAGATCGAGGAGGGTTCGGCCGGTGTTGAGGTCTCGAGAGGGGTTCGAGGGATGAGTTCCCATCCACAACTGCGCAGACAATTGTTAGTATGAGCTACAGATCCATCATGTAGAACCTCACCTCTGCGTATGGAGTATCAGACTCGATCTTCAGGTCATCAGAGGGCGTAGCAGCCGCAAATCGCGCAGCGGCAGAATCATTGCCCTTTTTTCCCCAGGCGTACGAGTTGACACCGCATTGTAGACGAAGTAGAGGAACCTGCATATTTGCGATGTTCGTTGTTGGCGGTGACTGCGACGATGAAGCTATAGCTTAGCTTGGAGGGGTCAAATGCTTGAAAGCGAAACGCAAGTCTTTGCTTTGGATATAAATCTTCTAAGCTAGCAATCGCAAAGAAAAAAAGAAAAGATCAGGAGTTGCAA